CTTTGCGTTCCTTCAACTTCGGTGCTATCTGAAAGAAACTTTTCAAAAACAGGGCAGATTGCGAACCAAAGACGAAACCGCTTGTCGCCTAAAAACATTTATATGATACTTTTTCTTAATAGCTGCAATTCGTTATAAACACTAATGTATTATTTGTGTAAACTTATAAGCTAGACAGGAGTGCTGTGCTAATACTCGTACTTATGCACATACATATGTAAAGGCTCAAAGGCGAACTCACTTCGTCTTTTCCCGTTAACGAAGGCGTTAGGCAGGGGTGTCTCCTCAGCCCAGTTTTATTCTCACTGTACCTTAACGATTTATCCGATTATTTGCCTGGTGGATTAAAAATAGCAGATACGATCATAAAAGTACTAATGTACGCAGATGACTTGGTCTTATTTGCAGACTCTCCTAACGATCTTCAAAATATGATAGACGCTATACGCGAATATAGTGAACAATGGGGTCCAAAAATAAACCTGGCCAAGTCCAAAATTATGGTATTCAGATAATGTAGTAGGATCCCTTCTGGTTATAGCTGGACGCTCGGTAATGACCCAATAGAGATAGTTAATGAATTTAAATACTTAGGCGTTCTTCTTAACTACAAATTGTCTTATAACAAACACCTGGAATTAAAGCTTGTTGATTCAAAAACTGCTATTAATGCTACCTGGTTAAAGTATGTAAATAACCCAAGGATTTGTATCACTAAGAAGCTAAAAATTTTTGATACCTGCTCCAGATCGATAATGTTCTACGGAGCTCAAGTGTGGGGCGTAGAAAAATATGAATCTATGGAAAAACCCTGCGTTTTTTCATAAAAAAGGTTATCTTTTTGCCCTCCAACACACCGAACTACATGCTACATCTAGAAACAAAGTTACTACCTCAATATGTCCACACGTTACGCTTGCATATGTATTTCATTTTGCGTTGCCTAAAGCTACCACCCAACAGGCTTCCTCGTATTCTTGCGGAAGAATCCATTCGTTTGAATACATATTGGGTAAAGAAATGGCATCATATCGCTGATACGATAAATATGAATCCTCTTAGTGACTTTTCTCCTGACTCCGTTGCGACGTATATACCGTTGCTTTTAAGCAATTTAGTAGAGAGGGAATTCTGCGGCTATCGTGAGTTTGCTCAAAAGACCACGTCACATGACCTTTACCCGAGTTTGATCCCCGCAGATACGATGTATTTTAATGACCAGTATAGCGCTCATGCTATAAGTCTAATTTTTCGTGCAAGAGGTGGCGTAATCAATTTAAACGCAATAGAGTACAAAAAGGTAATTTGAGATACCTGTACGATCTGCAATCTATGCGAACCGGAGAACATTTTCCATGTCATTGGTACCTGCCCAATGTATAGAAATATTCGTCGCAAATATTTTGGTGAAAGTGTTCTCGATATGGCTAAAGTCGTAAGCATATTAAGTGGTACCGACTATCATGCGCTTTATAATTACCTGGAGAGATGTCTTAAGTATAGGGAGCTAATACTAAATGAGTTCTCATGAGCGAAATGGCTAAAAAAATAAAAAAAATATATATATCAAAGTGTCTGAATTTTATGTTTTGTTTATCCGACTGTCGACTTATCGTCATCGTCGTATGCTTCTTATTCAATTGCATTGTATAAATTATATCTTTTCACATGAATGATGTATTTAAAATTTCTTAAGATCTCTTAAGATACACTTACTTATGTAATGTCTTTGTAAAGTACACAATTGAATAAAGAAACATCAACTAACTAACTAACTAACATATGTAAAGGGTTGGAGTTAGTAACTACTAGTCACCTATTTTTATAAGCTTTAAGATTTTATAAAATTGTTGAGCGTATAGCCAGATATACCTCCATATATTTTTGCCATGACTCCTATGTACATACATAAGTATGTGTACACGTTAATACCCGCAATCACATGCTTTAAATAAAATGATATGATCTCGCGTAGAACGCACTGAACTGACTTCATCACTTGCAAAACAAATATAATTCGATTCCATTTCGGATCGTTTAAGTATCGATTCTGCCCAACACTAATATTTATATACCTCGTGAATAAAAATTTTAGAAAAAACACTTAAAAAGAAGAAAATAACTTTTTTTATCAAAAATTATTTTAAACAAAAGTAATAAGTAACTAGGTATGGTGGATTTAGCCCCAGCAATTATTTCACTATCAAGGAAGCAGTAGGGGACGCTCCTTACTGCCCATATATGTATCTCGAGAGCTGTTCTGAGAATGAAAGGTTTTAACCCTCTTTTTAGTATTTTTTCATCCATCAAAAAAGTGTTTGCCGCACATACAGTCAGTCAATAAAGTTTAGGTACAGCGAATTTTTTACAATACGGGCAACTATTTTTTAAATATTTTATTTTTCGCTAATTTTTTATAAAAATATGGTTAATTCTACAACAAAAACCCCAAAAAGCAAAGTTCCAAACCTTGTGCAAAATTAAAGAAAATTTTGCAAAATTTCATTCAAATATTGCACTTTTTATTTACGCTCTCTAGAAAAAATTTGAGTATGCGGTTTTTTAGCCCATTCAATTTTAGTATAATAAAGTGCAAGTATGAGGAAGCTAGGACTTACCATTGATTTTTGGGAAATTTTTTTGTTGAAGGTGTCGCACATTTTTTCCATATAAAAAAATTATAAAACATTATTTTATATGGAGAAAATGAGCGACACCTTCAACAAAAAAAATCCTAACAAGTAAGAAAGTCTAAGTTCGGGCGGCGCAAGTATTAAATATATGTTTTTTCACCTTTCCGAAACCTACCGCTAGATGGTGAGCCGGGGTGTTTCAATTTTGAGTAAATTAGCGTCCTTAAATTTCGAAATATTGAAGTTTCAAGCATTTCTGAAATTTACCGTTATATGAAAAGCGGCCGTAATTTTAGTCCGATTTCAATAATTTTTGAACGTTTTGCTTATATGTGGCAAGCACAATAACCATACCGAGTTTGGTACAAATTGGTAGAACGGTTACCGATATACATATATGTGATCATAAGTGGGCGGTGCCACGCCCATTTTCCAAAATTTTACCATAAACGTATTTCTTGGTAAAGAATTGTTGCAAGCATCAATTTTGAATAAATTAGCTTCAATATTTACTGATTTATCGAAGATTTTGTATGTCTCTAAATTACCGTTAAATGGGATGTGGGCGTAGTTATCGTCCGATTTTAAAAATTTTGCAGCGGTTACCAAGATAAACACATGTAACCATAAGTGGGCGTGGCTACGCCCATTTTCCAAAAATTTATAATATTCTTATTTTTCGTCTAAAAATTATTGTAAATATCAATTTTGAGTGAATTATCTTCAGTAGTTAGTAAAATATCGCAGTTTTCGTATTTCTGGAAATTACCGTTATATGGGAAGTGGGCGTGGTTACAGTCCGATTTCGCCATTTTCATACCTACATACCAAGTTTCGTTGAGATATCTAAATTTTTGCTCGAGTTATCGTGTACACGGACAGACGGACAGACAGACATGGCTTAATCGATTTCTTTTTTCATCCTGATCATTTATGTATACATTTGTCTATATCTATCTCGATTCGTTTTGGCTGTTACAAACAACCGTTATGTGAACAATATTAATATACCCTTGTGCACAAGTGCGCTCGGGTATAAAAATCAATGGTAAGTCCTAGCCACCACAAACTCGCACTTTGTTATACTAAAATTGAATGGGCTAAAAAACTGCATACTCAACTTCTTTCTAGAGAGCGTAAATAAAAAGTACAATATTTGAATGAAATTTTGCAGAATTTTCTTTAATTTTGCACAAGGTTTGGAACTTTGCTTTTTGGGGTTTTTGTTGTAGAATTAACCATATTTTTATAAAAAATTAGCGAAAAATAAAATATTTAAAAAATAGTTGCCCGTATTGTAAAAAATTCGCTGTACCTAAACTTTATTGACTGACTGTATGTGCGGCAAACACTTTTTTGATGATTTTTCGGTTTTTTGTTGTAGAATTGACCATATTTTTATAAAAAATTATCCAAAAATAAAATATTTAAAAAATAGTTGCCCGTATTGTATAAAATTCGCTGTACCTAAACTTTATTGACTGACTGTACATTTTTAAAGATCATTTTATATAACGTGCGGCCCTCCGCTTTTAATCAATCAATATCCTTGAATCTAAGGTCCTTGATTTGGCTGAATTTTTCATTTTTCATATTGGGGCACTCAGACAAAGTCGACCAACACGAAGATTTCCCCACGAAAATTTGGCGGGCAAACAGCGGAAACATTTTCTTTTTACGCGCGATTATCGTAACGTTTATCGTTGGTTGAGAAAGCAGGGTCGCTTTTCCCGCCAATTTGTACATTTGGACAGACACTTTCCCGTCAATTTCAGCGTTTTCGCAGACCATAGTGCCGCCTGAATCATCACTAACTTCATCACCAAATACCTCAGTTATCTTTACGACACGTCACAAAAACACTTTCACTAATTTTTAGTTTTTTAGCCGCACCCGAGTCTGCATCGTTGACTTTAGCCATCACCGGTTGCGGAGTACGCGCCATTTTCTTAAGTTTATCAAGTTCCGCAAGCGGCATGCCTTATATGGAAACAAATGCGCAACTCCCTCGACCAAAAAAATTTTAAAAATCAGCGGTAGTTTTTAGCTACTTGAAACTTGCACTTTGTTATACTAAAATTGAACGGGCTACAAAACTGCATACTGAAACTTTTTCTGAAAATTCTGAATAAAGTTTGAAATTTTGATAAAAATTTTTTTAAGTTTGATTCATTTTTATGAATTTTGTACAAAGTTTGCAAGAATCATTCATATGGTTTTTGTTATAGAATGAGCTATATTTTAAATGGAAATTAGCGAAAAAGATTTATAATGGAAAACATTTGGAATATTGTGAAAAAACTAAATTACGAAGACTTCTGAGAGTGACTGTATGTACATATGTATGTATACAAAAAATTTACTTACCAAAGAACATCTGACATCTTTTAAAAATTGAATGTTGTAAGGTCCTGGTCGAATGCGTTCTCCAAACACAACTTGTCCTAAATTTTCAACAGGAGAATTCATTTCATTACCGGTGCAAAAATCAAAATGATGGTACTCATACGGAATCACTGATTCTTCTGTGTTCAGGCGGTTAACATACAGTGTTACATCCGACTAGAAGTAAAAAAGGATTTTAATGATTGTAAAATGAATTGTTCATTCTAGTTAAATATAACTACTTGACTAAGAAGTTTTAGAAACAAATATTACCAAAAAATGACTGCTTCGTCAAAAGGATATCGAGGCGCGGCCATAGTGCACAGTCAAGTACGTTATCAGTAAAGTTTAGATACAGAGTTTTATTGCAATACAGACAACTGTTTTTAAATATTTTCTTTTTATTAAAAAATTTTTATTGAGCTTAAAGCCGTCTTTAATAGAAAATTATTGTGGAAAAACAACAATAATTTATTAATGGTAGAAGTTGTAGCTGCTAGTTAGAGCTGCTATTTAGACTTGATCACGTGGTTATTGTGATTGTTGTTTTTGTTTTATTAGTTAATTTCTACTTTTAGAATTTCAACTTGAAGGTGTGCTCGTCCTTAATTATTTTGCTTTTGGTTGTTTTTTTGGCCTAATAAATCATTTTAAACAATTTTTATTGAGCTTGAGGCGGTTTGTAATAGAAAATTATTGTGGAAGAACAATAACTTTTAAATGGTAGAAGTCATAGCTGCTATTTCGGAGATCACCATATCTCCTTATCAGACTTATTCACCGGGATTATGTCCCGGTCGGATTCAGTAGTCAACACACTGTGTTAAGTTCGCCTTATAAACTGTTGTTGCTTTTTCCATATGCCAATCCAACCACAATCAAGGGCAGCTATTCTTCTGCTATTTAAACTAGATCATGTGGTTACTGTGGCTGTTGTTTTTGTTTTTCTACTACTAAATTTCCATTTTTAGAATTTTAACTTGTGCTCGTCGTTAAGTATTTGGTTTTTGGTATTTTTAGGCCTTATAAATCATATTAAACAATTCTTGAGGCCGTTTTTAATAGAAAATTATTTTGGAAAAACAATTTATAAATGGTAGAAGATATGCATGCTATCTCACCACGTGATCAAGTCTAAATAGCAGCAGAATAGCTACCCTTGATTATGGTTGGGTTGGCAGATGGAAAAAGTAGAAAAAGTAGAAAAAGCAACAACAGTTTAAAAGGCGAAAATAGTACAGTGTGTAGACCACTGGCTTTGGAAGCTGGGGCCGTTGGATCGAATCCCAAAGAAGAAGACTGATGAAGAAGTGGTGACCAGCACCTCAATAAAAAATTTTTAATATGACTTATTAGCTCAAAAAATACCAAGAAAAAGAAATACTTAAGGACGAGCACACCTTCATATTAAATTTATAATAAGCAAAAATAACAACCACAATAAACACATGATCAAGTCTAAATAGCAGCAGAATAGCAGCCCTTGATTGTGGTTGGAATGGCATATGGAAAAAGTGGAAATATCACGAACAGTTTATAAGACGAACTTAGCACTTGCTTTGGAAGCTGTGGTCGTTGGAACGAATCCCAGTAAAAGAGTCCGATGAGATGTGGTGATCTCCAAAATAGCAGCTTTAACTTCTACCATTTATAAATTATGGTTGTTTTTCCACAATAACTTTTTATTAGAAATGGCTTCAAGCTCAAAAAAAATATTAACATTTTGAAATTTTTATTGAGCTTTGTACCACGATTTTGTTTATTGAAAATTGAAAAAGCAACAAAATCGAAGCGGTAGAAGCTATACTATTTCGGAGATCACCACATCTCCTCATCGGATTTCATTTTTCTAGACTTCAGTAGGGATCGAACCCGCATCATCGATGTGATCTCCGAAATAGCTGCTATAACTTCTACCGCTTCGACTTTGTTGCCTTTTCAGTATTCCCAAATAAACAAGCTCAATAAAAATGTTAATAAGCCACAATATAATTGACAAATACATAGTTTAAGATGAGCCGGCCTAAAACTATACATACAATTAAGCAAAGGCAAAATTAATGTATAGAATTTACAATAACAACCACGCTGTCAAGTTTAAATAGCGGCAAATCAGCTGCACTTGATGATAGTAGGTGGAATAAGGGAATGAATCAGCAACACGAGTTTACGGGGTGTGCATTGCTCAGTGGTTAGCGCTTCTGACCTTGCACATCTATGTTGCGGTGTCGATCCCTGCTGAAGTCTAGAAAAAATAAGTCTGATAAGGAAATGTGGTGATCTCCGAAATAGCTGCTATAACTTCTACCGCTTCGACTTTGTTGCTTTTTCAATTTTCCCTAATAAAAAAAATCGTGGTACAAAGCTCAATAAAAATATTAAAATTAAAAAGTTAACAAGCCACAACAAAACTGGCTCAATAAAAATTGATTAGTATGATTTATTAGGCCACAAAAATACCAAAAACAAAATACTTAAGGACGAGCACACCATCAAGTTATAAAATTCTAAAAATAGAAATTAATGCCGAATTTCCATTAGGCACTGAAATGACAAAAAATGTATGCCTTTTTAAAAAATGCCATGTGGAAATTAACTTAATGACTATTTTTTTAATGTAATGACACGATTATTTTATAATGCCCGACTTTGTCATTTTTGGTATTTAATGCGTAGTGGAAATCCAACATAACTAATAAAAAATAAAAACAGCAACCACGTTATCACGCCTGAGTAGCAGCAGAATAGCTTCCCTTGATTGTGGTTGGGTTGGCATTAGAGATGGGCAAAACTCGTGATTTTCTACGTGACACGTCTTGTCACGCTTTTTCACGCGTGAACGTCAGCGGTTTTGAGAGAAAAATTACGTAATTTTCGTGATCGTGCGTGAAATTGTTTCTGACGTGAGTATGCGTGAGTTAGGTTTCCCGTCAGTCACGTAGTTTGCACATACATATGTGTATTTTTAACCAAAAATTAAGACATTAATGCGGAAATACAGATTTATTAAATTCAGAAAACCAAAGTTGGGATGATGCTTTAAAATTTTGGTAGAAAGCTTAAGATTTGCCACTTCTTAGAAGCCTTTCAAGGCAAATTTTAAACATCCCAGCTAGCTCAGCAACTAGGAAAAATAGTTTTTTCCGCGTCAGGCAGAATTCTAGAAGACTGGTGATAACCCCGAGTATAAAAATTTCGAGCTCTTTAATTATATTTTTAAGAGATATTTTGAGTACGCAGGTTTGTAGCCCATTCCATTTAAGTATAATAAAGTGCTGCTTTTTGGCAATTTTTTTTTAATGACGATGCACAATGGGACTACAGCGGCCAAAAGTAGTAAAAACGGGCTAGCGAATTCTGAAAAAGTAATTACGCAGATATAGCAAAATATCCAGCTAACCCAGACCAAAAAGAATTTTTGATAAAAATGCATATTTGCAATCATGACACGAGGTTAAAGTAGGAACAATGCGAAAAAATAAATTTGTAAAAAAAAATTTGATTTTGTGGCAAGTTATTTGAATTAATTTTTCCACTTATGCGGATGTATAAAAAGCTAATCTCATTGATGAGCAGTTTTTGAATATATCTGCGGTCAAGCATTGTTTTAAATTTTTATAAATCTTTTGAAATGTATAAAATAGTTTACTTTGAAATTCTACATAATTTTGTGAGCATAAAATTTTTTGAGTGCTTAATTTAAAAAGGGATATTTAAAAAGGACCTAGGAAGAGAGCATTAATGGGTCGATTACGGATAGCAACGCAACCACGGTTCGGTTGAAATGGCTATGCAACTGGAAAGAAAATTTGTATTACAAATGGCAACTATCAGTTGCTGTAGAGTTATCGATAATCGAAATTTAATAGTTTGACAACCAGCAAGCGGCTGTAAACAAGCTGTGCGAGTAAAATTAAATTATTAAAATAAATTGCAGGTAGTGGAATTAACGGCGCGCCATTGTAGCTTTCGAACATGTCAGAATCTCGGCCGCCCGTAACAGTCGTACTTTCGTCGAAAGGCATTTTTCCGTTTTTTGAACGCTTTAACTAAAGCGCGTGTTTTAGCAATACGGGGTCACCAATGTGGTAGCGATCAAATACTAAAATCAACTTGCGTTTTCCACGATACGACATTTATTGACTCCAAAAGATTTTATAATTTTTGTACGATCGAAGTAACTAAAGAGAAATGCACAAAATGGCAATAGCTAGTAGGGCTGCGATCTAACAAGTTTGATAAAGCGAACTAAGGTATGCTTACAGTGTTGGAAATTCTTAATAAGACTATTTAAATCAATAATGTAATGAAGTTAATGAAATACGCTGTTTCGTCTCTCTGTCGTTGAGTTCGGTTACGCAATTTTGTTGCTCCTCTTTCAAAACTAAATATTGTGGACATTAAATAATGCTTAATATACAGCAGGTCAAATAAGTATATAACACTCGTTGCTGAGCATAAAATATTTGTGAATTTTAAGCCTAAGTACTCGTTGTGCTTATGATTGCATGCAAAAACTTTTAAACGAATTTTCAATTGCTTCATTTGTTTGTTTGTCTGTAAACAAATTTCTTCGCTGAGTGATGTAAATAGAATTCAAGAGGAAGTTGCCGCTCTTACTGTGAGAGCCCTTGAGTCCGATTAGCGCATTACTCTGCTGGAAAATAAAGTTGAAACTTTTAAGAATTAAGTCGATAAACTCCAGAGTTGAAGTGTGCAGAAGGCGAAAACGACGGACTTTGCTGCTGACGCTGTTATTTTTGGAGTGTCGTACGTTGAGGGTATCTTAAGAGTATTTTTAACCACAGCTGTTTGTTTATTGACCTCTTGGCTCCTCAAATACGCGATATTTTATTGTTAAATTCCACAGCCCTCTCCTCCGTAACCGTACGCTTCGTGCCTTCAGTGAACATCGCAAGAGAACGAAATCTGTGATATCTCTTAATGTGGTTGGGCTTGAGGGTCAATTTAAAATATTCGAAAGCCTATCAACCGAAAACTTTTACAAAAGGCTGTGAAATTGAAGCGAGCAGATAAATTGACATCTGCATTTACTATGAGAGGCGGAGTTTATGTTAAGAGTAAGCAAAGATTCTGCTGCTGTGAAAGTTTCTACTCCGGATGATTTGCTTATTTATCAAAATGTTAATGTTAGTTATGTTTAAAGCTTCGTTGTA